AGTATCAAGTTGATTTTCCTGGATATATTTCTAAAAGCAGCTGTTCTAATGTCTTGCTTGGGTAGCTAGTCCATCTACTTTCTGGTGATGAAGGGACATGTTGTCGTTGACACAGGTCTTCATGTATTTATAACTGCTAAGACTGGAAGAGGTTGTTCTGTTCATCTATCTGGCTTCTTGTGTAAGGCAGATTGACTGCATCATGCCAATAAACTTTTGCTTGGACTGCAACATGTTTTGCAGTAGTAGTGTCACTGAAATGATAAGAATAAGATACTGAAAGTTAGATCCCAAATCTAGGATTGTTATAGATGATAGAAATCAGTGTCAGACAAGCAAGATTGAAATGCACCATCTGCAAGAATAACTGTCTGATGGGATGCTGACACATGCTCTAGCTTCAGTCATTGTTGTGAACCAGATTCTCAGACTGCTCTAAGGATGTTATGTTCCTTCAGACCAGACTTAAACTGGGTGTCTTTTGTGAGGTTTGGCTGTTGACATAGGCTCACAGGTAGAAAAGAAGAAAATGAGTCTGTGAGAGAGAACACCCAGGGCTGATGATGTGGTATTATGGACATCAAAAGGGAACCATTTATCTTGAAATAATGAGCCAAGGACTATTCTGCACGGTAACAGTATGAAAGCTTCCATCTACCTCTGTTTAGAGAAGGATGAAAAAGTTTCTGCAGACAGCTGTTTCAGTGCTGACAGGGTGTGTCGCTATTTTTGGAATGTTTCTGCAGTGTACAGGCAAAGCAGTGCTCTCAGTTTGCATGTATCAGGCTCCAAGCCACTGAGTCAGCATCCCCACCAAACCCTTGGCCACAGCTTTATTTTGAGTTCATGATCTTCATACTTGCATCGCTTCGTTCAAGCTGGACTTCTTCCTTTCTTGGCTCTGTGTAAGGCAGAAGTGAAGAGGAGGGCATATGTGGCCTTCATCAGCCAAATGGCTGAAACTGTATGTAGAAGCCAGCAGTTCCTTGGCATCTCTCAGTGCAGGGGCAACTCCTCCTGCCAGGGCTGACTTTGCTGCTTCTCTGCTCCAGCTACTGCCCACAATTCACTCTGTCCTGCAAAAAGCTTCAATAAAGGGGAAGGGAATGTGCTGTCATGAGACCTTCAGCTACCATCCAGGGCAACCCAGATGGAGCCCAGCTGTTAGTCTTGCAGGCTAGGGTGCAAGCCCAGGAGAGCTCCCAAGAACAAGGTTAGCCTTATCCAAAGCTTCCCCTTTGCGTGATATGACCCATCAGGGGTTCCAATCAAGACCACATTTACTCTTCTGCTCACAAACTCTGCCTCACCAAGGGCTTGTCTTTGTGAGAAATTTAGAGGTATGTGTTTGCAATACTCTTATCTTTCATGGTGAGGGTCTTGGGTGGTGGAGAATGCAGGGTGTCTGACTCTCCCTTCAGGAAGAGTATCCCATGCAAATGCCATCTAATATGATCTAAGCTTCATACCAGAGGAGATGGTGCAAATTAGCAGATTGGCTACAAATTCGAAATTGTTGCACGCTGACTTTCCCGAGAAGAACACAGTAAGTGTATTTGTACTCTTCCTTTTCTAGTAGATCTAATAACATTTCTTTTTTTTTTTTTTTTTTAAGCCTCAGGCTCGAATGTTTATTGGCTCATCACTAAGTTGAAGACTAAGGGCTGGGAACAGCTACATATTGTCTCTTGAGATGTGTTGCCTTCAGATGTGTGGGAGTCTGTCGCCTTTACATGGAAATGTAAGTATAATACTTACATCCCCAGTAAGGAAACTGCTTAGTGTATTACAAAGAACAGAAGAGTAAAAGAGAGCAAGCAACAAAAGAAAATGTGTATGACTACAGCACTGTGGGGTTTTTGCAGTGGAAACAATACCACAGAGATAGCAGCGGCTGCAAAGAAACACCCCATTCTCACAGCTGCACTCGGTCCTTTGCTCTATTGTGTGCAGGAAAATGGAGAGGTCTAGCAATGCGGTGAGCTAAACAGAGGCCAAGCATCCTTAGCCGTGGGCTGACAGGCCTAACTGAAGACAGGTGCAGCACCACCGTACTGGTAGACATCTCCTTTTCTGTCAGTGCCCTGCTTTTCTTGCTGGCTTGTGTTTGGCCCAAGCAGCGTTACTTCCCGTGTAACAGTTAGGAGAGAGGGTGTCTGCAGCGAGCAGAAGAATGTGAGGGCACGGTTATCTGCAGGCCTGTCAGACCTTGCCTTGTTCTGCCCAGCGCAACTTGGGTTGGTGTTTGGGCTGTGGCAGCACATGGCTGCGAGCAATAGCTCTCTCTGTGCCTGTCCTGCTCCTTTGGGGGCATCGCCGGTTGGTGCGGGGGGCTGCTCTGCCAGTGCTCCCTGCCCTAGCTGTTTTCAGGACATGCATTCCACACAGCATTGCTGAAGGTACGTGCTGGCCTCCAGAGCTCCTTTGTGGCAGTAGCCCAAAGCTGCTGTGCTTTCCAGAGATACCCATTTGCCTTCAGACACCCTCTCCTTAATGCCTTCCCTTGGAAGAAAACAGAGACATCAGTGCAGGGACTTCCAGTGCTTCCCTCCAAGTAACATCCAGGAAATCCCTTTCTTCTAAAATGGGATTGAGGCCCAGTCAGGACTGCAGCATGACATTGTCTTGCTCCTCAAGAGAGGGAGGGTAAAGCGACACTTCTCATCCAGCAGGAAGGCTGAAGTTAGAGACACAGGGTGCTTTCTCTTTGCCCAGCTGGGTCTGATGGTGCAGGAGGTTTCTGACGCTGGTTAGAAAAGGGGCTGCTTGGTGGGATGGACCATGCGTGCCAGGATCCCATGGGAAATCCTTGCTGCAGGTGGATGATGTGAACCTTTGCTGGCTTGGCTGTGCTTTGTTATACAAAATGTCTAAGCAAGATGATTTTGTGCACACTCAGAAGTACGAAGGGCTGGTGTCAGTTCTGTGATGCACAGGGGACATCAGCTATTGAGCCCTCACCAACCCTCCTGAGTGCCTCTTCACTGCTCACAGCTAGCTTATTTTTGAACAGACATTCCATGTCCTTTAGGATCGGTTTGTTGCTCCTGCCTACCTGTTGCTCTAACAAGAGAAAGGATGCCACATTTGATGTGCTGTAACTGGCCTGCTGGAACATAGGGACTTCCAGTCTGAGTCATTTCAGCTGCAATTTTACAAGAGCATGGGCATCTGGGCATGACAAATTTGATTAACTGGAAGTAGTGGCCTTCATTATGAATACAGGGCATCCTTTTAAGCCTTGTTCTGCTGTTGTGGAGCTTAACCTCTCTTCTGTCTTTCATCTCCACAGACATACGTGTCTTTCCATTTGTATTTAATTTGTACCAATCCCAGTTTCTGCCTGCAACTCCATAGCAGGTAGTATCCAGTGAGCAGGACGGCACCAAGCAGGCTCTGCGTGTGCACAGAACAGAAGGACAGTCCCTTCCCCAGCATGTTTGCAGCCTGAGTGTGCTGGCAAACAGGCAAAGCGCAGGCATATGCTGAAAGCAGGTGGTGGCTTTGAGGGATGTTGCCTTGAAGAAGAAGCAAGACAAAGTTGAGCTCTATGGACCCAGTGGAAAAAAAAAAAAAAAAGAAAAAGGCAGGAGGGATTGCGGTTGCTGCCTTTGCCCAAAGCCCCTTAGGCACCTGGGCTGGAAGCAGATGTGTCCAAGCATGCAGATCTTGCATGTCCCTGCCAGTGTGGCAGCGGAGAGGGGTCCCCACATGCCCCCAGGGCCAGCACAGCCTGCTTGGCTGGTGAGAGACACCTGGGCACCACAGCCCCTGCCCTTGGCTTGTTTATCTCCACAGATAATAGAGGTCAGCTTGCTGCTGTTGCTTCCTCTCTCCTTTTGCATGTGCCTCCCTTGTGGATTCCTTATAAGCTAGGTTTTCCTGCAATGTGCAGAGGCAGCAATACTGTGACCTTAGTGCATTCTATTTAGGGTAACTTTTTTCTACTTTGAGCAAAAAAGGAGTAGTTTTTACCATCTTTAGTACCAGCTAAGAATGATGAAGCTGGAGAAGAAGTGTCTTACAAGATTTTCCTATAACTTCAAGGAAGGAGAATTGCATAAATGAATGAGAAACATTTATCTAATATTGTATATCTCCTGTGCCATAGCTTTCCTTCTGTCTTCTTTCTTGGTCTACATCTGCAATAAAAAGCTGGCAGATTTCCGTGGTAGCTGTAGCAGAGGGATTGTGCTGGGGTTGATACGATTCAAAATCCTCACCACTCCATCTGTTTCATATTGGAAACAGGAATAAAGGTTTTATTAGCTTCTCATGCATTTTTTGGATCTAACTACCATGCCTTCTTCCAGCTTCTTTCCTCACCATCTTTCCTACATCAACCAGCCTCAGGGCTGGTTTCTGGCTAGACTTAAGGCAGTGTTTTCATCCCCTTCCACACTCATCCCTCTTTCACAGCTTGCTTAAATGGCAGCCCATCATGGATCAGGCATTTATGCAAAGGTGATCCTGACAACTTCCAAGGGAAATGTCTCATTTCTACACGTTTCCTAACAGCCATTGGCTACCTGCTCCCTGCTGGGGGTCCTGGGCTTGCTGTCCCCTTGCTGCTGCTGAGGCTATGGAGGAGCAGAAGGATTCCCATCACGCCTCTGCCCCAAAAAACGCATCCGTCCCTCTAGGATGGTGGCATGCAGATGCTGGAGTTGAAGTCTTCGGGTGAACGTTGGAGAGGACGAGAGCCCCAGCTGGCCCTCCAGCTGCGTAGCCAGACCTCCAGGGCATTCCTTTTTAGTGTGTGTTTTCCTTGTCACTGCATGTTGTTCCCATCCTGATAAAACGCCCCATCAAGAGGTATTTCTGCCCATGGTTTTCTTGCCTGTGCTAGAAACGAGAAGTGCTACAGTGAGAGCTGGAGGAGGGGAGGAGAGCACGAGGGCTGTACCGACACGTCCCATGACTGCTCACAGCAGAAAATCCTTTCACCAGCCAGGAGCTATCATTAGACAAGGCAACATTGGATTTTTTTGACTCTCAAAATGAACTTTAGGAGGATTTTCCTAGTCAAGTGCTTGGTGTTTTTATTTCCCAGTGTAAAATGTGAGTCTTTCTTACTGTTTTTTGCTCTTTCAGGCTAGCATTGTTAAAATTAAATTTTAAACCATTTACAACTTGCTGGGATGTTACTGATAAGAAACTAGGTCCACTTTCTCGATGAGTGAAGACCTTTGGGTTATTGCTATTATTATTTGATTTAATTTTCAGCTGGGAGGGAGGGCAGGACCTGAGTTTCCTATTCCAGTTACTGTAATAAGCTGTAAACAGTTTTGGTTTTTAAGTTAATGAGTCTTAATTTGACACGTGTATAATGAGAAATGCCAGCATGCAGTTTTCTCCCTGCCCTTGAGGTAGCTTGTACTACATGAGAGATCCAGTTCATGGTGCATTATCGCATGTAATTTCCTTTTCTTATCGAAGATGAGCAAATCTTTTGAAAATGCAAATTATGTTCTTCCATAAATATTAACAGAAAGAGTGATATATTTCAGTGTCTTCAGTGGAGCTGAAGCCTAAGATGTGAAAACAGCAAGCAAATACATACATCTTTTATATTTTGCATATTATTGCTCTCATTATTTTTTAAAATATTAATCTAAAAACTAAATTAAGGTGTTAACTCATAGATTAGAGAAGGTTATAAGAGTTGGAAACAATACAATCATGCATAGGCTTTTTTTTCTCTGTTCATTCCACTACAGATTGTATGTAAGGCTATTCTTTTCCTCCAGAACAAAATTAATAGATAAATAAGGATTTTTTGTTTGTTTGTTTACATGGAATATAAAACATCTTCCCCAGCAGAAATGAAGATTATTCCTTTGAATGGAAAACTTGTTTCAAAGACTTGCTTACTTTTCTAAAGTTATTATGGGAGCTTTTCCTTTTAACTCTTTCTTCTGACTGCAAGTGAGCTCTATGCTGCCAGTTCAGATCTTTCTGCCCCTTGTCATTAGCAGAAATGCTGTTTCATTAGCTAAACAGATTTTTAGTAACATATGTGTGGGATACTCAGCTTTCCATTAGCTAGACTCTGGAGATCAGATAAACATCCAGAGATGTGTCTAGGTGGTCTGTCCATACAGAGGCCATTGAATTATCCTTGAAAAGTCAATATTTTTTTTTCTTCCAGAGAGAAAAAATAAATGGTAGTATCTGTTATGCAAAGAAATCCTTTTACTAGCTCTAAATACCTACACATAACTGAGCAGAAACAAGTACCATAATTCAAATATTTGAGTATAATCTGTAATGTCATCTGTGTGGAGGATAGGTCCTTCAAAGACTGTTTGGTTGATAGCTTGATTCAAGAATATTTCATTAGATATGTCAAATACCTTGTAAGAAATGCAATAGTGAAATAACAGCCTCTCGTTAGACTGAGGGTGATTTGCCAGAAGCACTTCAGTATTAATTTTCTTGTTGCACAGACATACTATTTTAGCTCTTTGATTATCTCTAATATTGTTAGTTTCATGAAATAGCAACTGGATTGCAGTTTCTCCTCTGTGATATAGTTTATCATTGTCCTAGATACCAGGAATGAAAGACTGTTATAAAAATACGCATAAACATAGTTTTTCTCTCTGTGGGGAAAAAGTGCTTGAAATATATAAAATTAGAGTAGAATCAGCTCTAGCTTATGATGTAAAGAGAAATCCTCTCCTGCCGATCAGCTTTACCCTGTAAATTGAAGAGGAATGAACATAAGAAAATGACAAACAAAAGTTGTGGCTCAGAGTGTGCATTTGGTGACCAGTGAGCTTATCCAACCTGACATGTGCGAGCACTTTTCTACCTCCTCCTGCAAATTTTCCACCTGCCATGGGGCTGGAGACATTACCTTACTTGAAGTGACCTCCTGGTAAACTTTGTACTCCAGAGTCCCAGTTTACCGGAGATGGGCCTTGTGAAGGCTTGAAGCAGCCTGGAGGGGAGAGGGCAGGCCACCCAGGCACAGCCAGAAGAGTACATCATCTCCATGGTAGTAACGTGATTGATGTTTAGCAGCCTTGGCTTTCCTGAATATCCCCTCCAGCAGCCACCTGCTAAGTGCTGCCCAATCCTGGTAGCACCTTTGGGAAGCACCTACTCTTACCTGTTGTGTAGAGGGGACCTGTGATCAAAGGAGACTTGCAAAGAGAAAATATATTTTTTTTTTTGGCCTTTGCTTATCACCTAATGTCTCCAGTGCCTGAGCAGTTCACAGGATGCGGTTAGCTGTTTGTTTCTTCCTGCCTTGCTTGCCCCACTGTGATCCTGTGCTAGGAAAATCAAGCGGCTATAGTCTGGTGGCGCAGAGTGCCTGGGATATGTGAGGAGGGGACACTGCAAGCTGGCAGCACTGGGCCTGCCTCCAGTTCAGTGTCTTAACTCACTTACTGCTTAACATGGGCCACTATTATTATTATTATTGCCATCACTGTTATTGCTGAACTGATCCTGCTGTCCAGGCCCACTACTAGTTTGTGTTCTTGCTGTCCACAGTAGTGGCAGCTGTAAATACCAGCCTGTGCCACGTGCAAAACACACTGAATCGACCTTATTTTCAGGAAGGGTTAAGTTCATAGGCAGACATGAATCTTGGCATGCAAAATCACTCCAAATAAGTCAGCCAGAGAATAAAGCCAGCCTTTGAAAGTCAGACTCTAAGCTTTGTTGCCTCTCAGAATCAAATTGGGCACTGACATTTATCTAATGAACAATCAAGAGGCACTTTGGAGCAGAGGAAGAAGACAGCATCAGTAATCCAGAGAGGCTTAGGCAACTTGGGGAGAGGTAGCAAGTGACAACCTTTTAGGTCACCACTGTGGCTGCCAAGCGGGGCAGTGGGGTCTGCTGGAGACATGCTGACAGGCTGGTTGTGCTTCCCTTTACAGGCTCTGTCACCAACTGGGTTTATGTGGCCGTGAACGAGTCGGCTCTCCTTAGCATCACTGCTGCTGGGACTGCGTATGATACAACATGGCTGAGAGGCAGAAAAAGGTTGCTTCAGTTAAAAGATAAGAAAGTTAAGTACTATGTGAAGAAGGAGCAGTGCAGATGTAAGGTGTTCCTAAATGGGACTCTGCATATAGAGCAGGTGGCAAAAGAGGACAGTGGAAAGTACTCGGTGACTGTTTATCAGCAGGATGGAAAATTTGAGGCAGAAGAAGACACAATGTTGATAATTCAGAGTAAGTATTTACTCTTCCCATACCATTCCCAGCATAGCAGAATAAGACTTGGTATTCCCAGTCTGTCCTATAACCTTTTTTACTCATTGCCCCCCTTTCTGATTGTTGTTTTTTTTTTTTTTTTTGGGGGGGGGGCGGGCAGCTTCTGAGAGATGTGCGTCTTTCCTCCTGACACTGACAGCAGTCTGCTGCTCCTCTCCCTTCTCTTGCTCCTAGTGATGCCCTCTGGTCCCCTGCTTCTTTCTGGTTCCCCTCTCTGTCAGCCACCGGGTTTCTACGTGTGCCCAAGCAAGCAGCCGTGAGCACATCTGTGTTGGCAGCAGGGTGAGTGCGGACGGCTGTACTGCAGCACCGCACATGGTGCCTGCACCCCTTGGGCCCTGAGCCGGGGCAGCACTGTGCAAGTGGGGCTGTGCTCCCAGCAGCACCCTGCTGCCAGAAACCTCCTGTGGCAGCACAGCACCCCACGTGAGGTACGCCTGTGGCTGATGTGCTGTGCACTTCTGGCACTTCTGGTGCTATTTTACGGACAGTGAGTTATGACCTTCAGTCTCTAGCTACTGCTCCAGCAAGGTGAGCACCTTGTGTTGCATCTGCCAATCTTCTGAGGAGAGCTCAGCAGCCCAGGTGGCACTAAATGCCTGTATTTACGCAGTGTGGTCCCTCTCCTTTTTCGCTTTAACAGAAAAGATAGCCAGCAGTCACCTTCCCTGAGATACACCACAATAGGATTTGAATTTGCAGGGGAAGAAGACTGCTGCACCCTATCCTTGCATAGCATAACACAACAAGTATGAAGACTGTGTTGTTCAAGGCACACTTAAGCAAACGCCTGGAGATTTCAGCTGCACGGGTTCAAAGCATGAAGGCAGCCTCCCTTCTTGTACTGTATCTTGTGCTGAGACATCAGAGCAGTAGGAGCCCAAAGCTTTTACGGCAAGTAGGGAAGATGAGGGATGGCTTTCTTCTCTTTTACAGCTGCTGCCACCTCTCCAGACCACTAAGCTGTAGGGTGGGTTTTCTTCACAGCAAGAGGATTATTTTGCTCTGTCCTTCTTCAGCCAGCATGTACACCTCTGCCAACCTCTTGAGTCTGCTGGCGCTACAGAAACAATGCCTTGATAAGGCAGCAACGACAGCTGTAATGGTTTTAGCAGGGTTTCTGCACAGTGGGAGGCCCTGTGGCTAAGAGACTACTTCGGGAATTATTATTGCAAACTGGCTGCAGATTCAGGAAGTCATCAGGGCCTGATGCTACTTACTCCTGCCTTAAGACACCAAGCTGTTGTTGGGGTGTCCTGGGTTCAATTTCAGTTTAAGGTTGCAACCCAGCTATGTGCTGCATTGTTTCATCTAGTGTGCAGCAGAGCAGTTGCCTTTCCTCTGACAGGCAGTTTTGAAGTAAAGTCCTTTAGTAACTGTCAGGTGCTAGAGTAATTTGTCACCCAGATTATACGTTGTTACTAGGATTGGACAAACAGTTGTTCCACAAAATTAATAGTTTAGATGATATCATCATGCAACTCCATCATCGGGACCTGGACTCCAGTGTTGCACACTGGGATGTACCACTGAATGATAGGTTGCAGCTTGCAGAAGAGGATTCAGCTTAACGAGGAAAGGGTGGCTGCAGGTGTCACAGTGTGAACCTAGACTGCATGTGCTATGAGCAGCCCTTATTGGCTTTAAAATTTATGATCTCGATAACTTACACTGCCTATAACTAGAGGTGGCCCTGGCATGCTTTTGTTTACCTGGTCTAAAAGGTAGAAATTAGATTTTTTCCATCTAATCTCCCTACCAGTTGACCCTAGTTGAGGAAAGCCCTGCAGGCTTTTCTGGCTTTTTCAGTGCCACCAGTGATAGGCAATCTGGAACCGAAATACAGCTAGCTGTTCGCAGGATGTAAAAAGAGACAGGAATCCATTCTCTGTCATTACTTCATTGAGAGCTAAGAGGTGTCTGGTTTGTGTTTTCTGTTTTGTTTTGATGGGTTTTCATGCTGTGGCTGTCATCTGAACTGAGTGCTGTTGGTAGTACATAAAGCATTGTAAGTAGCTGTTTGTCCTGCCTTAAAGGAAATCTCTCCTGATGGGCACAGGCAGATCACAGCCAACTTCATTTGCACTGACATGTTTGGGCTGGAGCTGGTGGGGGCTGTGGCTCGGAGTGCCTCCCATCTGCCGCCTCCCCTGAAAACACAACTTCCTCCCCTCCCCTTGCCTGGCTGGGTGGCTGTGAGCCAGGCTGAGCCTGAAAGCAGTCCAGCCATGGTGGTGCAGCTCTGCTTTGCTAGGCCAAATATGTAGGCTAATATACTGCATTTTCTTTAGTATTGCTGTGTTACTTCTGTAGTAGAGGTCTAATTTGCTCTTCATTCTTCTCTGGTCTCATTAGCTGGTGTTACTCCCTTGCTGCTTATTGGGGGCTAATTCTCTGTTCTGTTTAATATTAGAGGTTTTCACAAGGAGAAACCATCTCAGACATGCCTGTCCCTTCTCTTCTTTTTCAGAGCCTGTCCCTCAGCCAATCCTCAGTGTCGAATGCATGAATAAAACTGTATTTGTCACATGTGAAGTAAAACAGAAGACTAAAGATGAAACATTTGTAATGGAACTGACCCAAGACAAAAGCAAAAAAACCCAAAAGAATGCAACAAGGTTGGAATTGCAAGCGCAGTATTCTGGGACGTTCAGATGCATTGTTAAGAACCAAGTCAGTGAAAAAACAGCTGAAAGAGCAGTTAAATGCTCAGGTAAAAAAAAAAAAATAATCTATTTTTACCAGAATCTACTAGGGCTGACCCACAAAGCCTGATGCAGTTGCACATATCTGTAGGTCTGGTCCAGGTGCCAGAAGCATCTATGGTTCCCAGTACCCAGTAGTGCGAGTCTAATGCTGCCACAGTTATTGGGAGCTGATACTGCTGTGGTAGCTGGGATGTGAGACATGCTTTCTGATTGGCATTTCCCAATCTTGTCACATCTCCACCCTCCCCACTGTACTGCTGCCTGCCCCACTGCTACCCTTGTGGCATCCCTCCTCTAACAGCAGTGAGGGGGCAGTGGGATATGAGGTGGGCCATGCCGGGGGGAGTGGGATATGAGGTGGGCCATGCTCTTCCTCTTCTGCTGCAGCCAGTGATGTTTTCCCCCATGCTTAGTGAGACCTGGGGGTTCCTGGAAGAGGAGGAGAGCTTCCTCTGTAGTCAAGAGCCTTGTGGGTGGCAGAGAGGCCCCCGGGGTGCACTGCAATGCTGCTTCCACCAGGCGTGAAGTCTCCTGGGGGAAATTGTAGCCTGCCAGTGAGATCAGGCTGGCTGAGGAGTAAGTGAATGAGAGTCTTGCTCATCCCGTCAGTGCTGACTCTTCTTCCAAAAGTTGCCAGAGGCATCCTGACAGACTTTTTGGTGTCAGCATCCTGACAGACTCAAGTGGTGTCAACCATCACTAGTGGTAGACCAATGAAGTAAAGGAGAAAGCAGGGAGGTGGGTCTGAAAGTGTTTTAATCACACACAGAAGCCTGCAAAAGGCAGAAAGCACTTCCCCCTCATTTTTGTCGTCCTTTATTCCTTTAAAACTAATGATACTTCCCAAAGGTTGACTTCAGTCAACCAGTCCAAAGCTAAAAAGTTAACTTCAGTAAGATGGTATAAAATGACCCAAGCTACCATGACATAAATGAACAGCTTAGTTTTTGAAAATATGGCTTGGGATCTTCTCCTATGTATATGAAGCCATGGCATTGATTTCAGGGGATTTGCTCTTGATTTACATCCTCATGGTGAGGAAATCAGTTGCACATTATTTTTCTCTTCTCCATGATCATACCTGTGAAGGTGGTGGTTGCCTGGTACCTGTGGATGGGTGCTCTCACAAGTGTAAAAATAAGCTGCTTGGACTCTCCAGCTTGGCCCAGAAATCAGTTGTGGAGAATTTAGCTGAGCTTTGGGGTTGCACAGCTCAGATGAGCATGGCTCAAAAATACCATGGATTTTCTTATTCACTTGAAGCATCATCTTTCTAAACCACAGATGCAGCAAAAGAGCTAAAGGAAAGGCATTTTAAATGGGCAGAGTCATGCTGAAAATTATTAGATGGGCAAAAAAGTCATTACTCCCCCCCCCCATAAAAGTTTTGAAAGCCAAGGCAAAAACAAGGGACAGATCATACTGGTATGGCACTGGATATGATGTTCAGTTCAAAGTTCAGATTTCCAGTGCAGTACTGGGGAAAAGTCCTTGAATTTGCTGGGCTTGGGTTCATCCCACCTAACTGTGATTACTTCCCTTAAAGCACTCTCTTGCTCTGGATTCCTGTCAGGAATAGTGGAGAGTGGGGGGCTCATGAGAGCTGGCTCAGTATTTCCAATTTCCAGCTATTTCTGTCATGGCAAATTTAGGGAAAGTCCAAGTCTGAAGGCCAGCCCATGGTGTGAGAAGGGAAGGAGTAAGCCTTAAGGTACAGAGGCCTTACTGAAGCAATCCAAGGTCTGCTGTGTCTGACTGAATGACAAAGAGCCGAGGGATGGGGTAGCCCTTGCCTCCTGAAGGATCCCCCTGATGCTTAAAATAGCTGAAAAAGGATTGTTTTCTGCTGCTGCATGAGTGCCTGACCTGATGGGCTGCACAGGCCAATCGGTGCTAGCACTGGGAAAGGGCTGGGGCAGGGGATGTAGCATGGACTTTGGAGCCAGGTGTGAAAACATGCTCCTGGATTAGGTCTGTTTAAGGCAGGGCAAACTAGCTCAAACATTTGTCTTAATGAAGAAATGCTGGCTGAAGCTGGCCATCCCAGGGCACAAGCCAGGCAAGCATGGGCCTGCCAGCATTGCTGATTTAGGCAGGCACTGCCCATCAGCTAGACACATTGATTTCACTTCTTTTCACCATTGAAAAGTGCTCTTGAAGGGTGAGTTGGATGGGAGAGTTTGTTTTTTCTGCAATCGTTAACAGAGAAATAAAAGGTTTTCCACACTGATCTTTAATGTACAAATATAGCATTTCTCAGACACCAAAAAACCACTAAAACCATGTAGCACTACCCTTCCTACTCAGACTAAAAACCCATCAAAACTTTCTGTGCAGTGGCAGGACTCTGCCAGCTCCATAGTAGATTAAAAATCCTTCAGCTTGCTGTCAAACCTCCTTCCGACCTGCTGCCCTCCACAAACATCTGGTCCTGCATTCGAGGCCTATCACCTTGAATTTTGACCTTGAGCAGGCAAGGCATACTTCAGATGGGCTTCAGCTCAGCTAACTTTTCATATAAGCATAGCTATACTATGAATCTCCCCAGGTTCACCTTACAGTCAGCTGGGAGAAGCAGGCATGGAAAGGGCAAAATATACCTTGGTGTAACACTGGCTGCTAAAACAGGTGAGAAGAACCTCATCACTAAGGGTACTTGGCTTTTTTAACACTGGGGCAGCCCAGGCTGATGGTGACCTTTATACTGTAGACATCTCAGCTTTGGTGTCATCGCTCTTTTCCCTTCATGTGCATACCCAGTGAATGTTAAGGCTGGTACCAGTGGTGTCGTCCCCTTTGGAGCTTTGTCCCATGGAGAGCCAAGGTGCACTTCTGCTCGGTTCAGCTCCATGGTGCCTGTGCTTGAGCCTGAATGCGGAGTGTCAGGAGGACAGCCCAAGCAGGAGGTGGTGAAGGAAGGCCAGTACCCAGCAAACCTTATCTGGTGAAAATAAGAAACAGTCATATAAAATTTTGCTCACTGGGCAAACCTAACTCTCGTTTTGAGACTGGGGGTTATTTGGCTATGTTCTTTTCCTTTTCACTGTTTTTTTTAACTTGTATGCAGCCAAAAATTGAAGAGGAAGTACCAAAATACTATGAAGCAAGCTAGTCTCAGTGTTTCTAGCTCAGTAGGAAGTACTTGAAAAGTTCATTTTGTTAGATGCTGAGCACTGCATGGATGCTTATTGTCCTTAAAAGGGTCCATTGCTAGCAGGAACAGGGCATTTGTGGTAATTTAAATAAGATGAGCTGGCACACATGAATGCTCTGGTTTCAATTTTCTGCAGAAGTCGAATCCATCAGGGAGCAATCAAAATTCTCCGCAATAAGGACCAGCAACTTTCTGCTGTGTACAGAGAAAAGGCAAAGGGTGGACTTTCTCACTGGGGCTGACTTTACAGTCAGTGGAAGAAAATACAGAATTCTAGGTAGATGCTGTGCAAGTTATTTCTTTCCTTCTAACATCCTCTTTCATTCCCTTAACTAGGCCAGCTGGACATTTATCTCATCTTAAGCATAGCAGGAGGTGCAATCTTCTTTGTCATCTTCATGATTTTGCTTATTTATTGTATCAGGAAGAAGAAAGCAGAAAGGCTTGGAAATGATGGTAAGTGTTTAAAGAGCTTTATGTTGCTATCCAGCCACCTAAAATCTTAGAGCTTCCTGCTGACAGCAGCCCTGTGGGCAGGAGTATGCTCTCTGCCTTGGCATGAGAAATAACCTGGTTTTGGCATATGGTGAATCTCAGCAGATCAGCTGGCATTGACTGTCTTGGTTTCTGATATTTGATTTGAACAAAAGACTTCTTGTTCTCAAGCCCTTTTGTTTATTCCTGGGGGAAGAGTTGCTCCCCTAAAGCTCAGCCAAAGCCACCAGACGTGAGCATCCATGGGGCTAAAATACACAATTAGATATCCCATCAGCAGATGTTTTTCATTGAATTTATATGGTGTAAAATTAGGATTCTTGAAATCACTAGTCACATTTGGAAACATTGTAGATAGGGAAAAGGGGCAAGAAGGTCTCAGCTTTTCTGTGAGTTTCCTCAGGCATGTCACAGCACTTGTCCTCTTTACAAAACAATGTCCTTGGGGGCCTCTCAACGCTGGAGGTCTAACTTGGGGCACTTTAAAGAACTGAGGTTTTCAGAGTGGGCAGAGATTTCATCTGTTGTCCAAAATTCATGCCTCTTTAAGACCATAAGAAATACTCTGCCAGAGTCTTCTCTGAGAGCGGGCTCTCCGTCTTGACAGAGAGATTGCATTGAGGTACAACCTGGGTGTTGCTGCTGGTTTGGGTGGACAGAGGATACTGAGCTGCCACTCAAGGAGAATCGTCTGGCCCACCTGGAAGGGGGGGGGGGGCCTAGAGCAGGAGGGAGGCTGCCCTGGCAGGGCGTGTTTAAAGGCTTGGTTCTCGGTCCTGCCCCCACACCGTGTCAGGCTTCCGGCGTGGTCTCAAACAACAGCTAGTTTCTATGTGAATCAGTTCTTGAGTTACAAAATGGGAGTAAAACTCCTTTGTACACCACAACTGTCTTTGTCAAGATAAAGAGGGCAACGCCTGAAGGAAACCTCAGTTGATTCCTCAAAGGTGCCAGTCGTCAGGCTGACAAGAAGGGTAAGCATGACCAGTCCCACAGCTGAGGGGAGTGCAACCTCATCGCACCTGAGCGTGGGTAATTGGCCATGGCCCTCCTGCTTCCCTGGAAGTTACGACCATGAAGAACAGGCATGCGCTTTCCCCATTCACTGGGAGGGCTACCACTGTGCAGCTATGGGTTATCTCGGAAAGCTTGCCATAGCTCGTGAGCACAACACTGGTGTGATCCTAGCCATCTGAGTGTTATTTTACATTATGGCTGTTCTTGTTTGAGTGGGATACATCACTCCCTCAGCTATGCAGTGATAGCATATCCTCAATTCTTGGGTCTGGATTCAGTAAGAATTAAGAAAAAGAGAAGACTAGGAAAATAAAAACTAATATAAGAAGGTGACTAGCCTCTTTGAAACAGTTTGGTGCGTCTTTACGGTCATTTCAGTGTCTCCCTCAGTCCCTAAGCTAAGCTGACCAACATTTCAGAAACGACGAGTCAGTGATCAAAAGCCAGCTGGCATGAATTTACTTCTACATGTGGGGAAATTAATGCTGGCAAAACGGACTTCTGGCTTCCAGGTACTTGGAAATCCCATCACCAATAGTGGCAGGGCAGAGTGCTTTGACGTTCCTTCCTGGGGTTACATCTCACTTTCAGTGGCCCATTTCCAAGAGGACAGAACAGCTCCGGCTGGGGGTGTCCATCAGTGACCACTGAGCCCCCGCCCCCTCCCCTCCCCCAGCAAAGTTGGTTCCCCCAACACAGAGAGGGCAGAGCTGCCCGAAATGCCCCCAGGTACCTTGACTTCAGCCAGGCAACCAAAAAACTTTTGGGTTTGCCCGGGATGCGCTGGTGGAGGTGATTTTAGTTGTTCCACTGGAGTAACAGAAACACCTGAGAGTGACAGTGGCCTTCCAGGTAAGACAATGTTTGGGTTTTTTCTTGCTTGGGCCAAGCACTTTCCCCTGGCTGTTCAATTTCAGGGATTGTCTGATTGCTGGGTCCTTCTGTCGTTGCAGATGAGGAGCAAATGATGCAGGCTCGCCAGGTAGACAGTGGAATGGTTGTGCGGGAGCTCCCTCAGCCGCCGTGCAATCCCACGCCAAAGCAGCTGCGTGTGCAGCAGCGGCCACTGCCACAGCCCCAGGTGCAGCAGCAAGCGCTGCCCCCACGGCCCAGGCCCCGCACTCAGCAGAGGACTCCAAACCACCCGAGAGAAAGACCTTGAACGTCTGCCCTGGGAGGGGCAGCGGTCTCTTCTCCGCCATTCACTGGGAAAAGAAAGTTTCCAATATCCAGTGAACCCGTCCTGTCCAGCCTTGCGTAATGCTCAGCTATGAAACAGCAGCTTTCATTGCAGAAAATTAGAGACAGCATCAAATGGAGATGAAGAGACCAAGTGGAGGAGATTCAAGGTGATGGGCATTCAACCCTGTGGCCATTTTTCTTCGAGTTCTCCATGTTAGGACATGAAGCATTGAGCCTTGAAACCTGTGTCTTTCTGTGGTTCACTTACTTGTACCGCACCTTGTTGTCTTTGTGCTTTTTGGATGGATTATATCAAGAAGAAGCTAAAGCTCTAGTGAGACAACATAGGCCTCAGGATCTTACAGGGTTTTGTCACATAACTTTTCTTCCTCCTGCCACACATTAGGACAGCTCTCTGGCTTCAGCACCAAATACATGACCTCCTGGATCAAAAAATAGTTGTATGTAATTAAACGCTTGTCTGAAGTTGAAGGAATTGGTGTCGTCTAATGTAGAGAAGAAAATACTGAAAGGAGATGAGAGCCTTGAAGCATCTGTGTGGAAAAAACGCATGTGGGAAAGGAGTAAACTTTTCACTTTTACTGTTGTGTTTAGAGAAAGGAACAAGGCTTAAATTGCAGCAAGCGAGAGTTAGGTCAGGATTTTTTTTTTTTTTTTTCAAATGAAGTAATGAAATAGATTTCTGGGAGAGGATCTCAAGCACTGGGGGCTTCAAAGGGTGGATGAGGCAACCATCTGTGAGGCGTACGCATCCTGCTGAGGGCCAGGGGAACGTGCTACACAGGCTGTTTCAGCTCAGATTTGCGAGACACCTTCCTGGCAAATAAAATGAAACTTTACTCTCAGCATAGGTCTGTTTGGCTAGCCAGACAATTTTTTTTTGTCATAGAAGAGGTCTGGTATCCATTGGCAGTGTTACAAACTGCCAAGCACTGTGATTACTAGTGGCATTGTCTGAATTGTCATGGATTTCCATCATAGGGCCTCCTGCTGATGTGAGGGACTGTGTCCCTTGATTTTGCTAGTAAGCACCTCATGTATAACCAGGTGATGATAGAGAACTGCTGAGAGATCTCCCTCCCAAAGCCAGAGGTTGGACTTCAATAACTGCACCTGCATCACCCTCCATGTGCTGGACAAACACTGCTCGCTCCTTTGGTCCTTGGAGATGTTCGTAACTGACTCTACAGGGCAGCTGAGGAGGTGAGAGAGGACAGGTCTTTTTAGAGCAATGTCTGAATGGGTACACTGGCCCATCCGGAGTAAAAGGCAGTGCAGGTGGAGGGGGAGAGAGCTGCAAGAGCCACAGAGCACAAATCCAGCTAGCATGTTGTTGCATTAGGCAGAAGAACATGTAGTACCTCTCAGGCTTGGCTGTCCTACCCCTGCCAGGGAAGATAAAATAGCCATTCTTTGTTTCTCAGAAATGTGACTATTTTTATCTTCTGGTACAGGGGCAGGGAAGCAACTTGTCAGGGAGAAGGGAGTCTGCCTCCTCGAGAGCTCAGTCACTTTGCTTGAACTCTGACAGCGGACACAGCCCTTGCGCTTGCCTGAGCTTCCTGCAGCTTGTTTTAGGGCTTTTGCTTTTTAAGGCTGCATTTGGTAAACATTTCATGGTTTGTTTTGTAACAGAAGCTACATCCCTGTCGTGAATGAATAAAGATAAGAGTGGGTGGAGAGGATCTTAGTTTACACCTGTGCTGTTACTTCAATGTCTGAATCTCACTTTAGTACAAAGGAGGTAAGAAAAGCATTTTGGTCCCTGAGCCATAGAAACACAGATGCAGGAGGTTTCACACTGATCCCTGAGTGCAGGCAGCTGCTGGTCTCAGGTCACTGTGGGTGAGCACAGCCACTGTGCCTGGCTGCCTGATGTGGCAGCAAGCTCTGGCTGTCCTGCATGGCCGGAGCTTTATCAGTGCCCTCTCCACAACCAGCAGCCGAGCTGGGCCTCCTCTGTGGTTACAGAAGCACTGGTCCTTCCTGGGAGAGAGGGAGAATTACTGGGACCTAAGGAGGAGGGTAAGCTTCTCCTGGGATCCCCCTGTCACTGATTA